GTGGTCGTCGTGTCAGCTGTCTCCACTCCGACCGTGGGGGTGAGTTTCGCTCCGGCATTCTCGCTGGATTCTGTCGCGAGCAGGGCATTCGTCAGTCCTGGACGCTTCCAGAGTCCCCACAGCAGAATGGGGTTGCTGAGCGCCGCATAGGCCTGGTCATGGAGATCGCCCGCACCTCCCTGACTCACGCCTGTGCCCCCCATTTTCGGTGGCCCTACGCGGTCAGGTACGCCGCGCACCAGCTGAACCTCTGGCCACGTGTCTCTCGACCAGAGGTTTCACCGACCAGTCTTTGGACAGGGTCCCCTGGTGTTGCGTCGCGGTTTCGTGTCTGGGGGTGCTTGGCTCTTGTCCGCGACACCTCCGCGGACAAGCTCTCGCCTCGTGCCGTCCCCTGTGTCTTCCTTGGTTTCCCTGAGGACTCCTCTGACTTCACCTTTTACCACCCTCCCTCTCACCGGTTCTTTGACTCCCGTGACGTCCGTTTCGAGGAGTCCACTCCGTACTACGTCAGGTACCCCAGTCGAGGTCTCCCGGTTCCTCCTCCCCCCCTCTTCCTGACTGCCGCTCCCCCTCCTGCTCCCCCGGTACAGCCTCCCCCCCCTGGCCCAGCCCCGTCAGGTGTGTCCCAGGCTACCCCTCCTCCTTCGGTAGCCCCTCCGGTACAGCCTCCCTCCCCACAGTCCTCCTCGCAGCGTGCCGCTGGTGCTAGCTCTCGAGAGGTTGGTGCTGCGCCTGTTCCTGTACCGGTTTCTGGTTCTGGGGGTGCTGGAGTTGGAGCTGGTGTTGGAGCTGGAGGTGGAGCTGGAGTAGGCACTGGAGTTTCTGGTTCTGGGGGTGCTGGAGTTGGAGCTGGAGTTTCTGGTTCTGGAGTTGGAGCTGACCCGGTGGGTGCAGAGGACTCTTGTCGTCCGAGAGCCGGTGCTGGCCGCGCGGACTCTGGGGGTGCTCCCTCTGGGGGTGAGGGTGTGCCTGCTTTGGGTTCTGGTGCGTCTGGGTCTGGAGCTGGTGTTAGTGCTGCCTCTGGGGGTGGTGCGCGTGGTTCTTCGGGGGTTGACTCTGGAGCTGCCACTGCTTCGGACACTACTCCGCCCCCCCACCCCTACCCGACTAGGCACCAGGCTCGTGTTCGCCGTGCGCGTGACGAGCAGCTGGAGTTGGAGAGAGAGGAGAGGGAGTTAGAGCGACTGGCGGAGCAGCAGCAGCAGCTGGACCCGCAGGAGCAGCAGTCCCAGCAGCAGCCGCGTCCGCAGCAGCAGCAGTCGCAGCAGCAGCAGCAGCAGCCACTTCCTCCTCCTGTCTCGGGTCTTCGGGCCCTTGGTCTCCCCTCCCCTTCTCCTCCCTCCTCCGCCTCTCCTCCTGTCTACGGTCCCACGTTTCCTCCGCCTGACTCCTCCCCCGCTGTTTTCTCTAGTTCTCCGCCTTTGTCCTCTCCTCCTACGTCTCGTTCTTGGGCTACTCGTCGCTCCCCTCGTGCTCGTCCCTCGTCTCTTGTTCCCTTCACTGACCTTCGTACTGCCTTACTTTGTTCTAGTCCACCTCGTCCGTCTCAGTCTGTGCTTCCGTCTCCTCCTGAGTCGGCCCTCCCCGTGTCGCTCCCTGCTCCTGTCACTGACTACTACCGCACGTACCGTCCTGTTCTCTCTCGTGTTCTCGCCTCTCTTGTTACTCACCCTCGTGCCTCTGTGTCCTCTGTGTCTGCTCTTACTGCCGCGATTACTGACTTTGCCGCTACCCGCCGCCTTGACTACGCCACCACGCTTGTGGCTGCTCCTCCTACCAGTCCTCTGGCCGTCGGGGGTGTGTCTGCCCTTGGCTGTGACGCCCTAGAGGACAGGCACTTTGAGCTAGAGTTCCTGGCGGCCGCTTCCCCTCATCTCTGTGCCATGCTCCTCGCCCCTGAGGGTGACCCCGACGCCCTTGACATTCCGACTCCTCGCACTTACGCTGAGGCAGTGTCAGGGCCTTGGGCCTCTCAGTGGAGAGCTGCCATGGACGCAGAGATGGCCTCCTACAGATCCACAGGCACCTACGTCGATGAGGTTCCCCCCCCTGGGGCGAACGTAGTCGACGGCATGTGGATCTACAGGGTGAAGCGGCCACCGGGATCTCCCCCGGTCTTCAAGGCGCGCTACGTGGCTAGAGGTTTCAGTCAGCGCGAGGGAGTTGACTTCTTTCAGACCTTCGCACCTACCCCGAAGATGACCACTCTTCGGGTGTTACTACACGTAGCAGCACAGAGAGACTACGAGTTACACTCTCTTGACTTCTCCACTGCTTTCCTTCAGGGCAGTCTACACGAGGAGGTCTGGTTGCGTCGTCCCTCGGCCTTCACTGGCACTTTCCCTCCTGGGACCCAGTGGAGGCTGAGGCGACCTGTTTACGGTCTTCGCCAGGCCCCTCGCGAGTGGCACGACACTCTGCGTTCTACCCTCTCTGACCTTGGGTTCCAACCGTCTTCTGCCGAACCGTCGCTGTTCGTTCGTCGTGGCTCCACACCGTTCTTTGTTCTGGTCTACGTCGACGACCTCGTTTTCGCCACTCCGGACAGGGTTGCTTTGGCAGACGTGAAGTCCGAACTGCAGAAGAGACACACGTGCACTGATCTTGGTGAGCTGCGCCACTACCTTGGCCTGCAGATCACCAGGGACAGAGCCGCTCGCACCATTACACTCTCACAGTCACACATGGTGCAGCAGGTCCTTCAGCGGTTCGGGCTTCAGCACTCCACCGTACAGCGCACACCTCTCGCTGTTGACCACAGACTCACTGGTCCCTTTCCTGACGAGCCGTTTGAGCCTAGTGGTCCCTACGCAGAGCTTGTGGGTTGCCTCATGTACCTGATGACTTGTACTCGCCCGGACCTCGCCTTCCCTCTCAGCATCCTTGCGCGCTTTGTTGCGCCAGGGAGACACCGTCCTGTTCACTGGACGGCAGCTGTGAGGGTGGCGAAGTACCTAGCGACTACATCAGGCGTGGGGCTAGTTCTTGGAGGGCAGCAGTCTGTCGTACTCACTGGTCACTGTGACTCCTCTTACGCTGACGACGCTGAGACTCACAGGTCTACTCAGGGGTACTGTTTCAGTCTGGGTTCTGGAGCTGTTTCCTGGCGTTCCACGCGCTCCTCTTCTGTCTCGACCTCTACAGCTGAGGCTGAGATTTACGCTGGTGCCATGGCGGCACAGGAGTTGCGGTGGTTGACCTTCTTGCTCGCCGACCTTGGTGAGCGGCCGAGCTCTGCACCGACCTTGTTTACTGACAACAAGGCGTCGATCCTCCTCTGTCGTGAGCCCTGACTGGAGAGCAGAGTGAAGCGCATTCACGTCAGGTACTTTCTTCTGCGAGAGTTGCAGAGACGTGGACAGGCTCGCTTCGAGTTCGTGGAGTCCGAGGCCAACACTGCAGACATCTTCACCAAGGCGCTTCCGCCTTGTGACCACCAGAGGTGTTGTGTGCAGTTAGGCCTTGTTGACACAGGCTCTAGTCATGTGTAGACTTGAGTTTATTGCCTGCTTCGTCTGTACACTTGCTATATATACTTGTGATCTCTTGGACTGGCCTTGTGGCCACTGTTGCTTGTGCTCAGAGTGTGTGGTGACGTTGTGATTCACCCTGAGCTTTGTTTTCTTTTGGACTGGTCTTGTGACCGTACTCTTTTTGATTTTGCTAGACACCCCTCACTTAGGCTATGGGGGTGTGTCAAATGTTGTAGCCTGTAGTGAGGTTTGTCTTAGGGGGTACAGAAGTTAGGGTTTGTCATATGTACCCCAACCAACATCAATGGAAACACCATTCCTCATTCTGACAGAAGGAGCCCAGGTCATTTTGTGCAGCCCAGGTGATGCAAACCAGGGTTCTCGTTATCAGACCAATTTGGTCTGATGGTCTGCGTTTAAGACTGGTTTTTTTGTATTCATCTTAATCCTAAGATTTTGTGTTTGTTCTCATCTGATCAGCAAGATTTGACTTTTAAGTTCGTATGATTTTTTCAGACGTGTAGAATTTTTTATCTGAGGATACAGATAGCGAGTTCGGTTTCGTCTGAAACCGACAACTTGACCCACTAGGCCATAGGCCCAGTTGACCAGAGGACAGGACCACCACAGGTATAGCCGATTGCTGCCTTGTAACTGCACGCGCATTCATTACACGTGTCTTATACAGCTCTGTAACTGGCCTTGTGCAGCCTCGCTGTAGGCTGACTTGGTTTTTTTTTTCGTCTAGTTTATCAGACTAGGAAAAATATTTCAGCTTATACTGCAGACCACAAAAATTTCGTCGTCAAAGCCTAAGACGGGGAAAATGTTTTTGAGGGTACTGTCAGACAGGCCCTAAACCTAGCGAGAACCCTGATGCAAACTACTGTATGCATGGTGCACAATGGGATGGAGGTAATGCCATGATGCCACTGCGTCATGACGTCAGAATTCAATGGCATGCCATCATTGCGTCTAGGTCAGTGATGCTACTAGAGAAGGAATCGGCGCGTGGGAGTACTGCCTGCCTGCCTGCCCAGTCTCGTTGGTTAGGTCTTTTTGAGGCTCCTCAAAAGTCATGCACATTGAAATGGTGATAGAAGAGGTAAACATGGTTTTTGCGTCGACTCAAAGGTCTCGCTGCGTCAGGTCAAGTCATGAATCTTGAGTGAGAGAATGGTGCTGCTGCTGGGTTTTCTTATTCACCTTGATCTGTACCGTATGGGTGCCCCAAGACCAGGAGCCGTGAGCAAGGCACTAGGAGCCAGGAGTTAGAAACCAGCAGCAATGAGCTAGAAGCAACGCGCGTTAGGAACGCTGAAGAAAATAGTGATGAATCCAAAAGCGCGGGTTGTGTATGGAGGGGAAAGGGCGCGCCACGCGCCAGACAGAGCCGCCTAAAAAATCTAGGAGCGCATCGTGTATGGTGGGGAAGTGGATGCTGTCGCCTCGCGGCACAGCCGTGCTGCGAGGCAGCAGCATGAGCAGCGGGATGACCTTTGAGTCGACTCAAGAGCCATGAATCTAAGAGCGCAAGTCGTGTATGGTGGGGAAGTGAATGCCGTCACCGCGAGGCACAGCCGTGCGTGGCAGCAGCATGAGCAGCGGCCATAGCGGCCCCGACACGTCAAAGACTGCCTGGAAGTTGCGGCACACGCCTAGGTCAAACTCGTTCACCCACACCTGCAGATGGGGAGGTGTGCAGTGCGGTGCAAGGGAACACAGGGAGGTTGTCAAGTGCTTACCCCAGGAATGGTTTGCATGCGTAACAAAAAATTACACACTTTCTGTAAGAATCCCCTTGTGTCCGAAGAATCCCCGAATCCCCTCGTGTCCTCAGAACCCCCGCATCCCCTTGTTCCCTGTCCCAGGAAACTCACTCTTCCCGCTCGTCTGGCCTCGCGGCGCCGCAGCACAAAGTCATAAAAGTCAATGGTGGTCTGCGCTGTCGCCACCAGGTACACGTGCCACGCCAGCAGCAGCGCTATCGCTATGAATGCCGCCAGTGCCATCACGAAGGTGAATATCACCCCTGGCAGCGGCTGGACCATCTGGGGAGAGGAGAGGAACGGGGGGCAGAGGAGGTGTTTTGAGCCTTCTCAAAGCCACGCCAGCAGCAGCGCTATCGCTATGAATGCTGCCAGTGCCACCACGAAGGTGAATATCACCCCTGGCAGTGGCTGGACCATCTGCGGTGCGAAGGGATGGGTGAGAAAGGAGTGGAGAGAGTGAGAGAAAGGTAGGGAGAGGGGAGGAGACGGGGAAGAAAGGAGGGGAGAGGGGAAAGAAGAGACGAGAGAGTGGAAAAGGGTGCAGTGAAAGTGGGATGGGCGTGGAGGGAAGATGGGGGACTGGGGAGAGTAACTATGGCGTGAGGCGGCCTGGAGCAGGAATGTGATGTTGATTGCAATGTTGCCAGGGAGAGCAGAGAGAGTGAGAATGTGCGAGGCAATGTGGGAACAAAGAGGGGAGAGGAGGAGGGAGGAGAGGACAGGAGGGCACAGGAAAGGGAAGCAGAGATGAGTGAAGTGGAGCGGAAGGAGGGGAGAGCGAGAGAAAGGATGTTGGACAATGGAAGCGACATGATGATGAGACGCAGCAATTTGTACGCAAGTGGAAGGGTGACAGGGTGGAGGTACCTTCTTGCGGTCAGCTATAAGCATGGTGGCGACTGTGACTGAATAGCCACAACCCACCCACAAATAGAGCACTGCTCACACAGGTGCAGGCAGGGATAGGGACGCGGGGAGGTTGGAGGAGGGGACGAGGGGGAGGGAGGGGGTGAGAGTTGAAAAACGGGAGAAATGCTGTGGTATGTGGAGGACGGGGGAGTGGAAATGAAAGGCGGCCATGGCAAGGCAGTGGATGGGCACGGGTGCAACAGCTGACAGACGTCTAGTCCTGACCTTAACTCCTACCACAGCGACAGTGCATGAGGTGGTGGTATGACACGGAACAACAGAAGAAACAGATGCGAGTTTTGAGACGTCTCAAAAAACGCACATGAGGTGGTGGTATGACATGGAACAAGAGAAGAAACAGACGCGAGAGAGTGAGAGGAGAAAGTTTGGAGGCTGCTGCTGGTGGAAAGGAAGAGGCTGGTGGGGCGAGGTGGGGTGTGTGTAGAGGAAGAGCGCAGGAGAGAGGGGGAGAGAGAGTCGGTTTTTGAGTCGACTCAAAAACCGACTCATCACACGCGAGAGGGGGAGAGAGAGGACGCACAGAAGAGGAAGAAGTAGCGGTAGTTGCGAAGGCCAATGCAGTTGTGCATCCATGCTGATAGGAGGAGGCATGGGGTGGGAGGCAGGGGGTGGGAGGCACAGGGTAAAAGGCACCGTGAGAAGTCGTGTAGTGAGGTGGAAAGAGCATGGTAGAGAAGTGTGATGATACATGCAAGATGGGGAGGTAAGACATCTGTTGATTGGCAGAGGGCGAGTGAGTGAGTGAGTGAGGGAGAGAGAGAGGGAGTAAGTGGGTGAGGGGTACGTACGACAGTGGTGGTCCATTTTGAGCACGCATCTGCAAGGAATGCAGGGAGAGTAGAGGGAGAGTACAGAGAGAGTAGAGGGAGAGTACAGGGAGAGTACAGGGAGAGTGGAGGGAGAGTTCAGGGAGAGTAGAGGGAGAGTTCAAAGAGAAGGGCAAGTGAAGAGGAAAGAGGGGAGAGGCGCAGATGTCAGGCACATATGGCTGCGAGATGTTGCGAGGAAGATCAAGCTAATGGAGGGGAATATTCGGGCCTCATGAGTTGCTGGGTGAGTGAGCAGTAATGCAAAGGGTTGAAGTGAGGGGCGAGGGGCGAGGGGCGAGGGGGATGATGTGGGTGAGATGAAGAGGTGAGGAGAGGTTCACCTTTCACATATATGGCAGTGATGTGTCAGTGGGGGCTTGAGATTCTGACCTGCCATCATTGGGCACGAGAGAGTCCATAGCGGCAACATGTCATATCATGCCATGCCATGCCATGCCATGCCATGCCATGCCATGCAATGCCATGCATCCACACAGAGCCAACATGCCATACCATGAAACCGCACAAAACAATTTTGAGTTGCGACACAGTAGGCATACATACATCAGAGAACTAGCCAGGCGCATGCAAGGGGGAAAACAATCTCATGTCACTGCACTGATGGTTGCCGAAAAACAAAATTCGAGACTCTCACTTTGTTGCACCACATCACTCACACTTGTCGCACCAGCGCACACACAGCAGAGAGCTGTGAGAGGTTGAGCTGCATGTCTGCCACCTCTGGCAACTCTCGCACCTTTTGCACCAGTTGCACCACTCACACTTGTCGCACCACACCACTCACACTTGTCGCACCAGCGCACACACGGCATGGTGTCTGAGAGGTTGAGCTGCATGTCTGCCACTATGCGCCCCACGCTCACCCTCACATCGCCCTGCGGCGCCCCTCGGATCTCCTTGTCTGGGAGCTGATGTTGAGGGGGTGGGACCGGGGACGGGGGCAAGGTGTGTGTGTGTGTGTGTGTGTGTGTGTGTGTGTGTGTGTGTGTGTGTGTGTGTGTGTGTGTGTGTGTGTGTGTGTGACAAAACGCCGAGGTGACTTTTGAGTTGACGCAATAGGCACATCTGCCACAGTACGCTCCACTCTCACCCTCACATCGCTTTGAGGCGCCCCTCGAATTTTCTTGTCTGGGAGCTGATGTTGTGGGAGTGGAGCAGGGGAAGAGGACAAGGGGGGGGGGGGGGGGGGTGGGGGGGGGGAAGCTGGGAAGAATTGAAGCAAGCAAGATGCAGCATGCGCTCCTACTCTCGTACCCTTGCGCACTCTCTCCCATTCTCCCATTAAAGAACCGCCTTGCAGCCGTCTCCGCGAGCAGCTTCAGGAAATCTACTGTCTCAGGGCAAGGGCACCCATAAGTCTCGACCGCGAGCGGGAAAAACTTCACCCACTCTGGGCGGTCCCTGTAGAGGCCGTGCTTCTTATCTGCTGCTTCCCGTGCCGCCCACCCCCGCCCCTTAGTTGCATTTTCGTCTCGGGTGCTGATGGGGTCTGTCACCGTCACATCACAGATGTAGACAGCTCCAGTACGGCGGCAGCGGAGGGCCAGGTCCGCCTTCTTCTCCTCCACTGGGCTGAAAGCGGCCGATTCAATGTGCACCATGAAGCCTGCGTCGCGCGCCATTCGCGCGCATTCGTCTCTGAGTTCATTGTGTGTGTTCGTGCGCCCCCCCCCTGTCCCACATCGTAGCAGGTGGTTTGGGAGCCGCTTGTCTGGGATTTCCACCTTCTTCGAGCAATTGCAGACCCCGGGAGCCGCAAAGGGGAGCCCCAGCCGGAACTGGAGCGCGTTGGCGTAGTGCGGAGCCTCGAGGTGTAGCGCGCGGTGCAGTGGCACCGCATTTAACCAATCCCCTGCCCTGTACCCCGACAGGGACATCATCCGCTGCGTGTGACCATTGTTCGGGTTCGGGTTCATCCCCCTCGCCTCCTCCACTTGGAACAGCATAGCGCTGGCCTTGGATAGCCGTGGCCAGGCCGTGCTGTAGCTTCCCTGCGGTTGGGGCTGTTCTCTCTGCTTGCAAGGCTTGCTGAGCTGGCAGGGGGAGCTCCTCCTCGCATTTCGCGAGCCATTCGGTCAAGGGGGAGGCCTGGGTGTAGGGACCGCGCATCAGCTCTCGAGTGGCTTCCAGTGGGCCGGTGCATTCGTCCTCAAGGGCGTCCAGTAGGAGATGAGCCTGCGTGTAGCTGGCGAGGAAGCTGTAGCTTCCCTCCACGGACGGGTCTGTCAGTCCGAGCCCCCCAAGCGAAACGGGGAGGGAGGCCTGCGCCCATGTGCGTGAGATTTCCTCCTCCCCCCTTGGGTGGTTTATGCCGCATGCTGTGAGCAGGGTATCCAGCAGTCGCCTCCCCCATTCGGACCACTCCACCTGGGGCAAGGACGGAAGGGGAGTCGTGCGGGCCAAATAGGACACTCGGCGCGAGACGCACCGAGACAGCAGCAGTCCCGCCAGCTGAGGCTCCATACGTTCTATCAAACCCAGCGGCGCTCCCATCCCTTCCAGGCTGGAACGTATGAAAGCGGATGTGGCTGTTGGGGTGCCGATGTAACTGCCCAGCAATTTCAACCCGTCGCTGCTGAGTGACACCCCCTCGGGCAGGGTGTGGTCCGCCGGCGATCTATTGGACCAGGCCCCACACTTGGCGGGGTTGTGTTTGAGCCCTATGTCCGCCAGGAGGCTGGTGAAATGATCAAAGGCGGCCGCACATGACGACGGGTCCCCTAAGAAGGTAACATCGTCCGCGTAAGCAAGGCAGATGACTTCCGGATGCGCCTCCGCAGCCGCCTTCAGGGCTGGTTGCATGGCCGCGGCAAAAAGAAGGGGGCCGAGGGGGTCCCCTTGGCGGACTCCGGTCTCGCTGAGCAAGGGCGCGTGGTCAACAGCTGCGTCCAGGTGAAGTGCAGACGGCTGGCCGTAAGAGAAGATCACCAAAGGCAGTAGAGGCTCCAGCTGCGAGCCTTTCAGCGCTTTCGCTATGGCGAGGCGATCGACGCTGTTGAAGGCGTTAGCTAGATCCGCCTGCAGGACTAGCGCCTCCGGATTGGCCGAGGTGAAAGATCTAACAATGTGGATCACTGCTTCTGCTCCTCTCGGCACGGCAACTCCAAACTGTAATGGTAAGAAAAATTCTCTAGCTGCTTCTGCCAGCTGAGTAAGTGCTGCTTTGGCTGCCAGCCGTAGGAGGCATTCACCTATAGCTATTGGTCTGGTCCCTCTGTCTGGCTTGTCGAGGGCTATCAAACGTGATGCGGTAAGAAGCCCCCCAACCTCCGACCGCAGCTTCCCGCGAAGGATCGTGTTGACAAGCGCATGTAAGTGAGAGCTGACCGCCGTGTGCATCAGTGCGGCTTCGCGCAGGTGTTCGAACGTCGTGCCTGAGGGGCCTGCACCAACCCCATTTTCACATTTTGAGAGAAGCTTCAAGAAGACTTCTCTCGACACTGCCAGGTAAGTGTCCGGCTCAGGCTGGGGCCACGGTGTGTCAGGGTGCCGGGCCCGGGGGTGTTTGGCACGTAGAGATTCCAGAACTCATGGGTCGGCTTGCTGACTGGCGTCGCTTCAAGTGCTGACAAGGATGCTCTCACTTCCATGAGATTCCAGAACTCAGGGGGAGTGGGGATGCTGCTACTGCCAGTCTCTCTCTCACGGCGCCCGCGCACCCCCGGGGTGTGCCAACCGGGCTGCCGAGAATCTGCAGTCCCTCATCAGAGATAGTAATTCCCGGGGGCACTGCAGAGGGGTCGATTGGAGCGGCGGACCACGCCGCGCATTTGGCCGGGTTGTGTACCAGGCCGAGGGCGGCAAGTGCGGATGTGAGGTGGTCGAAAGCTGCTGTGCAGGCCGAGGCGTCGCCGAGCAGCGTGATGTCATCGGCGTACGCCAGCAGGACCACCTGAGGGTGTGCCGCCGCCGTGGCAATGAGGCACGGGTGGATGCTTGCCGCGAACAGGAGGGGGCCGAGCGGGTCCCCTTGGCGAACTCCTCTGGCGCTCTGCAGCGGGGCTGCGCCGAAGTCGTGGTCGAGGTAGAGCGAGGAGGGAGCCCCGTAGGATAGGCGGACGAGGGGGATCAGCTTCTTCAGCGCCTCGTTTCTCAGTCCTTCGAACACCGCTCTCCTTTCTACCGCGTTAAAAGCGTTCGCGAGGTCGATCTGCAAGGCCACTGCAGCAGGGTGCACTTCCAGGTACGTGCGAGCGGTGTGGATAGCCGCTTCGATCCCCCCTGCTACTGCCACGCCGAATTGAAGGGGGGCAAAGTGAGTACGGGCGGCTGGCGCGGTCAGGAAGAGGGCGGCCTTTGCTATAATCCGGAGGAGACACTCCCCCACCGCTATTGGCCGCGTCCCTCCTTGGGGTTTCGTAAAGGCTAGCAGGCGGGAGGCCGTGAGAAGATCCCCCGCGGCTGTTGGGAGTTTCCCTGCTAGAGCTGTGTTGGAGAGGGCGAGGAGGTGGGAGAGTACTTCGGCATTCCCTAGGGCTGCGTCGCGGATATGCTCGAAAGTGGTTCCTGAGGGGCCGGCCCCGACTCCGTTGGGGAGCTTGGCGAGGAGGCGCCTGAAGTCGCGGGCTTCGATAGTGGGTGGGTCTTCAGCCGAGGCGGTGTGGAGCCAGTCAGGGAGAAGCTGGCTGGCAGGTGGATGTCTCGTCGCGAGGGCTTCCAGCACTTCAGGTGAGGCAGGTGACACAGGGGTGGCCTGGAGGGATTGGAGTGATTTTGACAGGTTACCCCGTTTTGCCAGACCTTCCGCCCGTGCCAGTATTCCAGTTGTGTCGAGTGAGTGGCGAGGCTGCGGAGGCAAGGAAATCGCCTGGACAGCTTCTTCGTATAGGTCCGCCCAGAGCCCTTGGCGAAATCGCAGGAGCCGATTCATCATCGCGCTCCAGTCAGGTTTACGGGCTGACGAGGTGCGAAGGAGTATGCGCGGGAGAAAGGTCAGTAGTTTCCATCCTGGCGCAGACTCGGGATTGGCCGCCAGGTGGAGTAACGGCGTCAACATACAGATCGCGAAGGAGTCGCGAAGGTCTTTGGGGGGGTGGCGAGCGAGAGGAGGTTGGCGGCTGTCACGCAGCGGGTCGAGGTCCCAGACTGCAACCTGAGCGAATAGCTCAGAGTTTTTCGCCAGGTCGTCAGGTTTGAGCATCGGGGGGGTTGGACTCGGGGCTGCGGAATTTTCATTGGCTGTTGCAGAGTCAATTCTTTCTTCTGGAGCGGCTCGATTTCCCCTCCTTGCTTGAATTACCCCCGCGGTTCGATTCCGAACTGAGGTTCGGTTTGCATGTTCACCTCTGGCCTGCTGGTTTGGGAGCTCCGCTTCCCGCAGCAGCTCCAACTCTTCCTCGTCCTCCTCGGCCTCTGCTTCTAACATCCCCTCGCTTTCAGGGTTAAAGGCAGGGTCCCCCTCTTCACTTTCCTCATTCTCCGCTTCCTCCTCTGCTTCCTCGCTAAGTGGTTCCACGTCGCCCTCCGCGCCGTTTCGCATCAGCCTTTCCACATTCCTCGCGTAGCCGCTTGCACCAGATCGGCGCCTGTTCGAACCTCGTGCTCCACCACCTCTTCGTCCTCTCTCGTTGCCTCGTCGTCCGCGGCGGCTGCCGCGTCCTACGCGGATTCCCCGCGTTGCTCGTCCCACAGCAGCTCCCTCGCGCCCTGTCTGCGGCGCCGCGGCCGTCTCGTTTTCGCTTCGTCGCCGCACTGGCGTCGGCTGCGGTAAGATCGGGGGTGATGGACCCATCCGTGAGACGGGATCCGGAGCTGGAGGGTTCCGCGGAGAGCTCGCTACCGCAGCCTGCGCCTGCCGGGCCTCGTCCGCGTCTCCCTGCGCACCCCTCCGCGAGCGAGCCCGTGCACCACTTCGAGCGGGTTCAAACGCTTCCCCATCGTCCTGCCGCGCGCCCCGCCTCGCCAGAGTATTCGTGGGTCCGGACCCAGGCCAGGTCGCTCCTCTGCGTGCGCCGACGCTGCGCGAGTATCAGCCCGCGCGTGAGGGGAGGGCTCAGTTCCGCACCCCCCGTCAGGTTCCCGGCTTCTCTGCGCCGCGCTTGGCTGTTGGCCGGACTCCTGGCTGGCCGGCGGCGTTTCCGCGCGAAGCGCAGACTGCACCTCTCCCCACTCGCGCGGGGAGAGACCCCATGCTGACCATGTGCCGGGTTCTGAATCTGGCGGAGGCGTGCGAGGTGGTGGCGAACTTGCAGCTGGCGGTGTGTGGGGCCACGAGGAGCTTTCCGAGCAGTTTTGGTCCAGGGACCCGAGGATCCTGCGTGACTTTGGCAGAATCACTCGAGTCGCCGTTGGCACCCGTGTCGGACGCGCCCGCCGGGGTAGCTCCCTTAGCCCGTACTTTCCCCCGCCACGTGGGGGATCTTGTAGGGGCTGCTCAAGCCGGGACCCCCTTGGACACACTCCAGTCGTCGGCGCATCTCCTTCTTGCGTTGTCGGCGTGCATGCGCTCGATGCTTGAGGTGGAGGGGGCGGAGCCGTACACGATGTAGGCCTCCGCCGTGTGTAGAATTGCATGCCGCGCCTCTTGCTCCTGCCCAGCTCCTTGCCTTTGTGTGTGTGTGTGCCCTATATAAGCCGATCCTCCGTTTTGTGTCTTGCCACC